TTTACTTGCATTGCATGGAATTAAATTTCCCCAGAGTAACGGGGCAGCTCTAATTCACATTGGGTATGTTCTCAGCAAGACAGACCTGCCAAGGATTGTTGGGCACAAATAAAACATATGGCTCAGAATGTTCTGAACTGTGTGCTGTTGGATCTGGGGTGGGATTCTCCCATTTGCTTTTTTATTCTACTCCTTTCTTTCTCAGCTGTGGGCCACTGTAGGAAGTGGGGTGCTGAGAGATCTTCATCCTGTCCTGATTGTACACTCATTTTCACTCTCAGACAACCTGCCTAGTCTTGTGGAAAAGAAGGAAAAGGAGTCTCTGTATCTTTCAAAACACAGTTATTCAAAATTGATCTCTAAGCTGTGAGTTTTTTGAAGAAAATATTTCATCTTCAGATAGAAACTTCTGTTAAAAATAATACTGAATGTTGAAGTGCATGTTGATCCCTGTTTGGATCAGAGGGGCATGATATTAACATGAAATAAGAATTATGGGACATGTTTTCAGCATGTGTGAAGCCAGAGATTAATGTGTGAGTCATTGTGTGACACTGTCCAGGAAGGTAAAACTGTGGGTGAGTGCCAGTGAAGAGTTAGCAACATGATCAGAGCAGAATGAAATGTGTTAAAGCTCTGGGAATCCCAAAACACATGAAGATGACGGGGAGGCTGGAGCATCTCTCCTTTGAGGACGGGCTGACACCATTGGGGTTGAGCCTGGAGAGGAGGAGGCTCCAGGGAAACCTTCCCGTACCTAAAGGCTTACAGAAAAGCTGAAGAGGGACTTTTTATGATTGTGTGTTGTGATAGGGAAAGGTGAAATGACTTCAAACTGAAAGGTAGACTTAGGTTGGATATTAGGAAGAAATTCTTAACTGTGGGTGTGGTGAGGCACTGGAACAGACTGCCAGGGAAGCTGGGGTTGTCCCACCTGTGAGTGTTCAAGGACAGATTGGATGGGGCTCTGAGCAACCTGGTCTAGTGGGAGGTGTCCTTGCCCGTGGCAGAAGGGTTGAAATGAGGTCACTTTCCAGGTCCCTTCCAACCCACACCATTCTATGATTCTGTGAAGCAGAAATAGAAGGAGCAGGGGGATTGTACAAGGATACAGTTTTTCTATTTGTATGTAAATATTGCGAATAAAGTAACCAGCTTTGATATACTTATTCAAACTCCTTCGAAACTGGAGTAACTCCACAACAGTCAATGGAGTCGTGCTAGTGAGGATGTTGGTGGCTTTAGTCCCGCCAGGATCACCTGGAGACAATGTGTGCAAGTCTGGACGGGGGACTGACATTTCTGCCTTTGCTGAGGTGACAGAGAAGGAAGCTTTCCTCAAGTGTGCCAGAAGACAGAAAAACAAAGGTTAGGGACAGAGGGAGGAAACCTGCACATGTGGTAGAGCTCAGATTGCTGTCAAAAAGCTGGAGACCTTGCGGATGAGACATCATCTCCTTGGATAATTACAGCAGCCCTTTGCAGCCTTCAAAAGCCCATTGCTTTTTCTTCACTTCACTTTTGACTGAACATTTGGTAGAAAAGTGAATAAAATGCTGCAGTTTTAGCAGTGAAAAAACCAATGGCAAGTGAAGACATCTCAGTGTTGACTGCAAGTACTGGGGCTCAGGGTCTGACAAAGGAAACTTCCCTGCATCAGGCTGACCTGAGCACCATGTTTGCCTCACTGGCTGCTACTGCAACTTGTCTGAAAGCCAGTGGGATTTATACTGCTGGAATATATGGTTTATTTAGATTTTCTTGCTGACCCATGAATATACCTACTGTATAATTTATTGGAATGTTAATAGTTCAGTCTTGTGATGTTTGTGATAGAAAATTTTCATTTTGAGCCAGTGGGAAATTTTGTTAGGGTGAGAAGTGCAGGCCTGGCCTCTGCTTTGCCTTTTTTCTTTTCCATTGCAACACAATTAACCTTTTCATTAGAGGAGCTCTGTTCCAAATAAGCAAACTTCTCAATGTGTATTACTGAGCCATTTCAAGCTGTCTCTTGCTTTGAAACAAAACATCTTTGTTCCAGCCATGCATGACATTTGAAGACCTATTTATACAATGTGTCAGCTCCATTTGTTTTCTTCATCCTGATATTTTCCTCTGTATTTTTAGTTAGCCATCCAGATTGCAACGAGCGAGGCTGCTTCTGGTTTCCTCCTGTGCTTCTCCAGACTGAGGCACTGGCTGCCTTTGTCCTTTCTCCACTTTTGTGGGCAGAGGTGAAACAATCCAAAACCAGACACAGTTCTGCCTCCTTCATCCTTTTTGTGCTGAGACCAGCAGCACCAGGCTGCTGTGGGATGCAGAGATGTCAGGCTGCTGTTATGGCTGTTCCTCTCCTGATGTCCTGCCTGCGGGAAGCACACGGCTGAAATCTCTTCTTCTGGAGGAGTCTCGCTGAGGGACAGACTTCCAAGCTGTGTCAGTAAATAAGCCATTCTTGAAAAATACCTGCTTTTTCCTTAGATATTCGTAGTTTGTCCTAGGTCTCTAACTAGTCGTTCTTGTATGGCAGCACCATGCTAACTGATCCAAAAAAAATCCAACACAAAATTGAAAAAGAAAACAAACAAACAAACAAAACATATAAAGATGGTGAGTGATAAAGCTTTTAGCATCTGATTTTGAGTAAGTGGAAATAGTTGTGGTGTTTGCCTCATCTTCTCCCTTTAAAAAAATTTATCTATCTTGGGACATGTCTTATCTTCCAGAAGGGATCCAGGGTAGTGCTGTGCCTGCTACTCAAGAAGCAACATAATGGCTAGCCCAGTACTGGTACTTCCTATTAACACATTAAAATCTAAGTCCTTTTTTAAAAAATCTTTTACACAATCTTCCAGCTGAAGGTTTCAAACGTTTTAACACATACAGGGTGCCAGGAAACTACTGCAAGCCTCACTTTAACCAGAAAAAGAGCCTGCAGGAGCCAGCCTAGCAGTGGTAAGCCTGGAGTTGCAGGAGCAGAGGCTCATCTGCTCTCTCCAATATTGTTGTCACCAGGAAGGTTGGGGAAGAAGGGAGAAACAGCTCCATGCAAGCAACGCTGCTCCTGCCAGCTGCTTCATGGCCCACTCAAAGCCTGATAAGACCAAGGAAGGGATCTGCATTGACCTCCTGCTTCACCATCCCTGTAATACCAGACAGAAGGGCTGTAAGAACAGAGATTAAACTTCAGAGCACCTCGCAGCTGTGTTTTACATAGACAGTCCCTCCAGCTCTTGGGAAAGTGCACAATCTCCTCTGAATGTGGAGCTGCGGGTCATTTCCATGCCAAACACTTAATGTGTCCAGCTTTTGCACGTGATGGATGGGTTTCTGCTGCAAGAAGTGGAGGCAGTGGCATGTGAGGGGGAATGCCTTCGGTACTGTGAGCTTCAAAAGCCAGGCTTGTGAGTTTTGCTGTGCGTTCCAGCAGCTGGGGAAGAGCTGCGTGCCTGGTCCCCGCCAGCACAAATGAAACCAAGGCATCCATATGCTGTGCATTAAGAGCGTTTGATCTCCTGCACTCTGGCTCGCTGCTCAGATGCTCCCTCTTCCTCTCTGTAGCAGTAGAGAGTGCAGTGTTGAAACCTGTGAGTCTGCCTGTGCTTATGGACTCTGTGATGGGAACTGCAAAGCTTAACACGAAACAGTTGAGAAAATGTTGCTGGCCACAGCCACAAACCTGTCCTCATCTGTTCCATGATGGTTGTGGAAAACAAAATTCCTTGAGTTTTATTTTCCCTTTTAAAGAAGAAGGATGAAGAACTGCCAAATAGATGGAATTTAGTCCAACTGATGTGACACCTGGATTAGCAAAGCAAAATGCACTGCAAATGCACAAAGCAAATTGCAAAAAGCAAATGCACAAAACACTGCAGCCCCACATGAACAAGGGACAGCTTCAGCAACCCCAGGCTTGAAGCTTGCCTCTGCATGGATTACTGTCACTGTTCACCACGCGTTTTCAAGTCATTTATTGCAGTGATTCATTTATGTTTCACTAAGCAGCTGCAGACACCTCTGATCCACATTAAAGATGTTGGTGAGATAGGAGAGGAAGGCTTCACTCCATGGAGGATTTGGTGACCCCACAGCATTGTTTCATGCAGATTGGGAAACTGGGCAACATTGTGACTTGGAAATTGTATGATGGGGAAGCACAAACAACAACCACATAACAATAGAAATGAATTTTATTTTGTAAAAAGTTATAAAATGAATATTGTACAAAAATAAAGTCTGTAGAGAACTTTGGTTGATTAACACAAATGACTGAGACATATAATTGCAGGTGAAGTAAAAAAATCCAGAGAAGCACACTCCTGTCTTCAGTAAGGTCTAAAAACTAAAAAAAAAAAAAAAAAAAAAAAAAAAAAAAGAAAAAGAAAAAGAAAAAGAAAAAACTTTTAAAAAAAATCACAGACTTTACCCTTTTGTATTTTGAACATAGAGATTTGCTTTGGTGGCAGCCTCTTCAAGCTGCACAGAAAATGCTTAGAGGCAAGTTTTCATCAGCTGGGGCGAGGGAAAGCACAGCTCTGAGCGCTGTTGCTGGTCAGCTGCCCAGCAGTGCAGCTGCCCCTCCACCTGGCAGGCGCTCTGTGCCCACTCTTGTGCCACTGCCGTGGTGTCACCACCCCTGAGCAGCGTGCAGGGCACGGTGTCCCCATGGCAGTGTGAGAAGAGACCCGGGGGTGTTTCTCCAGGGCTATCCTCCCTCCGCCCAGGAAAGCGGCGGAAACAGGGTGAATTACATGCCATACACCTGGTACATCTTTCTATGCCTGTTCTGGACTTTTTTGACCTCTAGACCCTTCTTCAGTGGTGCCCCAAGGGGCCCAGGGCAAAATTAGTATGGAGAGCCATTACATGCATGAGATAAAAGGTTGGACCGTGGTTTTCAATAAGGATTTTTTTTCATGTTGCTTTTGTGGGAGTTGATGCTTCACTGGTTGTCAGGTATGTCTAGTGACCTGCACTCCTGCTCCTTTGGGAAAAATGTCTCCAGAATGAGAGCTTGTGTTAGCGGTCACGTACGAACACCTTTGCTGTACAACCTCCCTCCTCCTAAGGAAACTCGGACTGTTCTGCTGCATGGGTATGATCCTGTAATGTTTCAGCAAATTATACAAAACACTCTGGTTATTTAACACAACTGTTTACTTGTAGGCTATATTAAATCCAGGGCTAACTAGTAAGAGGGATTTAACCTCTTCTATACGGAAGTATGGAAGGAAAAGCTTAAATAAATATAACTAGAAATTATAAGGCTAAATGTGATTATTTTCCATTTGTCAATAGTTATATGAGGTCAGTTGGCATAAAGTGTGAGAAAAAAAATGTGGCTACATTTAAAATATGACTAAAATTAGTTTTTCTAACAAATTGCTAATGTTGAGCCAAATCCTGCGACCCTCACTCGTCCAGAGCCATTGCTGCTCCTGCACATGTGACTAGTAATTTTCAAAAGACTTAGTGACAGGAATAAGGGCTGCAGGCTTCAGCACTACCTTTTCTGAACATAATCAAGATTTTGTTTAAAAGAAAAAAAGGTAAAGTAAGTGATTTTTTGCATTCAAGTTAACACTTTCAATCATAAGCATGGACCGTTGTTCCCAACGTCTTTGTCTCTCTATATCCCCAAGCGCCATCTACTTTGGCACCTTTGAAAGACACTTTAATAAATAAGGAGACTCATTACTGAACTGTAATAAATAACAATAACTTAATCTCAATAAATATCTTCTGTATACTTATGTCTCTGAAGGGATGCATTGCATCAAGTAGTCTCTCTCAATCACAATGACCAAATAGAAATGTAGTATGCGAGTGACGTTAGTCCTTTGTAAACCTAAAGAAACGCATTTTGTGTAGGCTGGGCTTGTTATTTCTCTTACTATACTAGGAAGAAGTGCTTAAAAACTCAACTTGTTTTCACAGGTAGCAGAAGAAAAAATCCTGCACTCATTTTGAAGAAACACAAGATGGAAATAACCAAACTTAGCCAGTAAGCGGAACTGTTTTGCTTCATAAGAACTTGAGCCTGGTCATTTTGATATTTGCCCAATATCATCTCACTTACAAGGGTAATCTTATAGCTTAGGAGTTGTCCTAAGCACTCAGGAACTGCCCTCCAATGAGCAGTAGCACAATGTGTCTTTCAGTAGAGCTGAGGGCACAGGGGATTAGTAAGGTACTCCTAAGCTACTTCTTAGCTAAGCTTCTTGGTATAACTGGTATATCATGGCATAACTACAACACAGCATGGTATGGCAGGGTTGTGTTTTTAAGCACGTTCCTCATGGATTGAGTCTCACTGATGGTGGACTGAGTCAAACAGGAAAGGTAGCGTGCACATAATCCATCCATCGTCATCTCCACCTGAGCTTTTATCTAAATCCCCATAGGACGTCAGAAGTCTCCATCCTTCTACTCTGCCGCATGCCTCCTTATCCCCAGGCTCTCAATGGCTCCTCTTTCTGTGTTCTTGGTCCTTTTTCCTCCACTTGGAGCAGACACTTCCCTGGGAACCTTGGTCCCTCTCTTTGCAGTGTAGCAGGAAGGGAGAACTGGTGCCGCCTTGGCACGCAGTTGTCAGACACATCCACACCTTTTTGCGGAATGTTTTTTCAGTATGTGGTAAACCAGGTTGTCATCCAAAAAGGACAGGTCATCATCAAAGGCTGTGGGTCTGCAACAGGCTTGCCTCACTTTGTCAGTGACCAGTTTTTTCTTTTTGGTTAAGTTTTTTAAAATTTTGTCATAGGTGGTCTCAGCTGCATCACAAGATCCACTGCAATACCGGAAAATTAGCTCTTCTTTGGTTTCATATCCCAAATCCAAGTCGGTCACATTTAAATGTATTTCTGTTAAGACACATCCTCGATTTTTGCCCTTTTGATTCCTCCTTCCTTTTTTGTTGGAATTCTCTATGTTTGTGGCTGCATTTTGACGATTTCTCTCCCGCCTAGAAAAAATTGGAGTCTGTTTGTCTGGTGACCTCCTCAGTCTTTTAATAGTGGCTTGAATAAAGTCCACTACCTCATCAAACTGATCTGGATAATCCTCTGGCATATTAGCTGTTTGGGAAAAAGAGAAAAGGCTTTGTCACACGTCAGTTATCATGAATTTTGTCCATTCACAGCTCAAAAATATTATGCACATGCAAGCTTTTCTGCCCATCACTTCAGAACACGTGCCCAGGACCCTCAGAAATCAAGGAGAATTTGAAATGGTTTAGATCATCACAGAAACTCATTTGGGGAAAGATAAATGAGACATATTTGTATTTCTCTGTGTGTCTGCTGATGCTTGGTAGCATTTCAGCACAGCTTTTAATATTGAATGAGCCCTGTGGAAATAGAGGGAAGGAAAAACATGTCATGGTAGGAATATTAAGTTAAGAGGTAGATGAAGCCACTGTAAAGATGTTATACAGACTCTTCCCAGCAAAGTAGCCATAGGAAGAGCTTTCTTTAAAGCAATTCTGTGATTATAGTTGTTAATTATTTTCTTTTCACACCAGCAGCAGTTAGTATTGCCAAAGCCACCTGTCAATAAGGTTTTTGGGCATGACAGAAGGAGGATTTCCTGGGGTACCAGACTGAGATATTATTCCTGGATGAATGCCTGGATTTTTATTGCTTCTAGGGGATAATTATTTTCATAGCTTTTGAAAAATCTCACATATATTTTTTTTGTACCACGAGATGCTCATCACACTGAATAGAAATAGGTCAGAATAAAAATATTATGCAAATTTTCTGGGGAAATATTATTAATGCATTTTCCTTTTGCAAAAATTTAATTTTTAATCTATTTAATTTATCACTTGATACATCACCGATGAATTATTCAAGTAAATTATATGATGAAGTCAATGAAATGTTTTGATACTAGCAGAATGAACCTCTCCAAGAAGAGTGAAATTAAATGTGTTCTGAAATGATCCCAAATTTCATCATGATTTGGAAAAAAAATTGCATTTTGAGATCCTTAATCTTCCCATGGACTAAATCCCTCAAAATTGCTTGCTTTAGAGAATACAGAGAACTAATGGAGGGTCAGGCTCTCAGTGCCCTGTGTGTGGATGCCCTTACTCCACATTGTTAATGACTGTATCTTAAACACATAAACAATATTGTAATATTGAGAATTTTTTTCGTATTTAATGCGCCAAAAATTAAGACTTTTTTCCCTTTCAGTAAGTCCTAAGAGAATGCTCCTTTCTGTACTTAACTCCTGAAACCCAACATGCAACAGACCAGTGTCGCACTAGCCTTGCACATACAGGGAGTCCTTCTCCAATACTCCTACAAATATTGCAGGAACAGCAAACACTGGGAGAGGCAATATCCAGGGCAGTGCACCTGGTCCTTGGTGTACCTGCACAAAGGCTCCCACTCAGTGAGGTGCTGAGATAGGAATGGCTCCTTAGGCAAAGGCTCAGCACCACGTTTCCCTAATGAGCATGGTAAGACAGGAATCCCAATGGTGACCAGGTAGAGCATGTATCCGGCTCAGAATGGCATGGACTCTGCTAACAGGAGACAGGAAGGCATGAGGCTGCCCCACTTGCTACCAAAAGTGCACTTTCATTTCCTCCGTGGAAGCACCAAATACAGAGGAGATGGGGGGCAGCAGAATCTAACTCTGTCAGTGCAAAACCTGCTGAAACAGAGAGTATCTGCACATAAGCAGGTATAGGGACTGCTGCCTGAAGTAGCCACATCCTAGAAACCTCCCTCCAAGACTAAATAGTGATGGATCAGAGGTATATGATTTTTGATTGATGGATCTTGGCAAAATAGTTTAGACTGGTGAAAGAGTAGCAGAGGCTGGAATTCTTGTACCTCCATGTAATGAGGGTGACAGGAAGGCAAACATGGTGCTATAAACCGTGGAGTTTGGAACTGAAAAAGGTGAATTACACTTAGTTTTACAAATATCCATGCTAAAAATAACAATCTCAGAGACCAGTGTCCATATTCAAAGACATGAAGGAGGGATGGCTGCTATCTGTACAGCTATGTGGAACCTGAACAAAGCAGGACCCTGCACCCAGCCCCATGTTCCTGTGACACCTTTCTTGCACTGCTCTATCTCTGTAGCAGGTACAAAATACCCACTGTGAGCCATAGCTACTGGAGGGGGTTGCTTGGATGGATGTGTCCATTGGATGCACCAACGAGCTGCTTTGCAGAGCAGGCTGGTCTGCCTACTGTGTACAAGTACAGCCCTACCGAGCAAGAGCCAGGCCCAGGCGACAGGCGGGCTATGTTCCTTTAAAGCGACAAAGGCTTTCTAGACTCAGTTAAAAAAGATGACCCACATGGGGCTCACATAACCCCCACTGCTGAAGTATCAACTTGGCCTTGACTCAGATACACATGAAAAGTAGCTGGCAGAAGGCACTTGTTGCTTGGGACTGAGTTTCTAGATTTCCTACACAGAAATTAGGCTTCTTAGTCAATAACCAAATAAGAGAAGGATGTAGCCCTGAGGAGATGGCTCTGGAAGTGCCCTTCTCCACTCTGACCTTCAACTGCCCTCCTCTCATACTACTGTGACTACCCCAGCCCATCTCTTTCATGCATTCCTAGCCCAACCTTTGTACCAACAGTATGCAACAAGACTTTGGCTATGGAGAGTGAAACACAACGGTAGGGAAACATATGAGAGCTTAACAAAACTGATGCAGTGATCAACCATCAGGAAGAGGACAGGAGACAGTTACAGGGAAAGCCAACCTATATGTAGAGATAATTGTTTGCAACCTTCAGCCTTATACTTATCTCAAGCCTGGCACACTGCCAGTGCAGTGAGAGGGGTAAGTGTCCCTCTCCTAAGAAGGGAGAAGCAAAACTGTGGATTAACCAAAGAGATAATCCAACTGGACACATCACTTTTAAATGGCTTGCAATTGAGAGGCAAAAATGCCATCTACCCCTATGAGAGTGCTATAGGAGGAGTGTACTTTGGCAAAATACCAATCAGACAGCTAGAGGGTTCAAACACTGTTCTGCCAACTATGCCCTGGAGGGTAGTAGATAGGAGGAGGACTGGCCCATGTGGTGGACTGTGTTCCCACTAAAAGTGCACAGTGAGATCTCTCCTGGTTCATGTGTGATCCCTAGCCCAGCTTCACCAAGAGAAGTAATGCCACTTCTGCACTGTGAAGGCTGAGGAAAGCAAATACCACTAAAGAGCCCCATGCAATGCTGGTGGTGCAGGCATGTACTGTCAACCCTGCAGAAAGTGGGACCAGTAGAGCAAAAAATAGATCAAATAATCAAACCAACAGCATATCCAACTAGAGAAGTCCTGCCTACACACACAGACTAAATGCACCCAGAACATGGGGTCATTGGCAGCATGACTGCATGGGGTCATTAGCATCCTGCTAATCTCACTAACACGAACTGTGCAAGAAGTGTTCCAAGTGTCTAATGGAGCCGGAGATCCCTGTTCTGCTCATCCCCTACTGCAACACCAGGAGGTATCTTGGAGACTCACTGGGAAGAATGCCAGCACTATTAGTAAGATGAATTCCAATTTCCTGCCTCCAGCATGGACTTTCTCTTCAGCCCAGGGAATTGGAAACTATCCCATGCAGGCCTTCAAATCTACCAATAAGACTCCTGCAGTGACCCCCAATATTTGGAGATTACACCACTGGAGGAGACAAAAGGCGTCTGGATGATAATAGGAAACTGGTGGAAACAGTGGGCATAGAGGTCCCCTTGAGAAAATGTGTGGGTCTTCTTGATCCTGGTCACTGTCTGCCCGCCTAAACTACACGTGCTGTTACAGCTGTATGGGTACATCACATCAGCACAATGGCAGCTGCATTACTGGGGTACTCAGTGAGACCTTGCAAGTTTCTCTAAGCAGCATGCCCCTCTGCCTGTGGAGCCCCAAACTGGTTATGAGCAATGCAGCAATGCACTGCCAAGGTACCCCAAGTTTGTTTCCATAATTTAATAGCAACAGCTCCAGTGCCTGCAATCAGCTAATTTTCTACTGCTTAATAAATCAGTCAACAGTGTGGCTACAAGCAGTCACTAGAAATGGGTCACAGGGGCCTGGAGGAAACATTGACAACCAGGAGTGAAGGGAGGCCTGTCTTAGCCCTGTGCTGAGGAGCCAGTCATGACTCAGTAGGGATATTCTGTTGTCCAACAAGTATTGGTATGAAGGCTTAGAGCCTGAGACAAAATGCTGTGAAAAACTGCTGGAATAGGATCCAGAGCAATTCAGTGGGAACACCAGCACTGACACCAGCCATGATGAGCTGAAACAAGGCACTAGAGATAAGTTCTAAGGAGGCTACCAGACATCATACATGAATAAGCAATAACCACTGACAAAGGACTAAATGCCTTAAAAGGCTAATTGACAGAAGGGAAGGTGGAGAAGCCTGACTGCAGGACGTCCCCATCCTGATGGGCACTTGGTAGATGTGCTTCAGGGATGCTGAGACCTCCCTACACCACAGACACCACATGCTGAGCACTTGCTTGGTCTCTGCACTGTTGTAAGTTCTGCTGGGGGAATGGGGGTGCTGATCCGAGCTCAGGGAACATCAGCACACTCATAGGGGCTGCCTTAGCATGTAGCGATGGTTTGTAAGCTGAATAAAGCTGTTTGATAGCGGGGTACTTTGTCACCCTTCTGTCTGCAACGTTGTTTAGAAAATGTTTATAGTCTCACAGCATCTTTCCTTCTCACACTGCATGGACTGTACTGACTTGATTCAGCAGCAGAGTTTGCTGGGGGGATTTCACACCCCTGCAAGGACCAGATATGCATTCTGCATGCGTGTGTATGTGTGCTTCATTTACACATATACGCACACAAATATGACTAATTATACACAAACACACACATTTTTTCAAAACAAACTAGTTTACTGACAACACTTGCCTTCTGCTGCAAAAGCTGAGAGAACAAACACATGACAGATGCCTGTCATGGTGTGCAATGTGCCAGCAGAAAATGCTGGGATACTACGGCATTAAAGCAGCAAAGATCTCTGAGGAATAGTCCCCAGTCCCAAGCTCCAGGGTGCAAAAGAATT